GAACATCACATGTAGATGTGCCAAACGTCCTTCATTTTTTGTCGTTCCTACTTCCGGTCGCAAACGGATGTGAATTCAAAAAGTTCAATTTTTCAACTTTTTTGTTTTTCAATATTTTTCTTTCGGATTTACAGGGTTTATAGAGCGTCTTCAAAGATATCTATATATGTTTTCATTTTCTTCATGCTTTTGTTTATTGCCAAGATATGACCGAACCAATCTTTGTCTTACTGTCGGGGGTTCGAATCCCGCTCGAGGCGTTCCCCAAATTTTTTCTTTCTTTTTGTCTTTTTTCAGTTGCAAATTACTTTTCACTCTTTTATAACATGTGTGGAACATTTTGCCGATTTTTAAAAGCTATATTTGGAGATATTTTGTGAAATACCTGGAACAATCACGATCTGTGTTGTGAAACTACTGTAAATGAACGTAAACGAAAAAATATATTCTGAAATCTATTTCATGGGATGACGCAGCATAGAACTCTAAAGAAAAGTCAGTCGGAAGACCTACTTGTTGCCCTAACAACAAGAACGCATCTAGTTAAGGTCTTCCGTCTTCACGGAAGACCTTATAGTGATTCTATTGTTTCTTATTATTATTATTATTATTATTATTATTATTTTTCCGTACACCAAATTTTGTGCACGCGATTTCTCGAAGACTACTGGGTGGATTTTCATGAAATTTACAGAAATTATGTGTTATTATCTGAAGTTATTTTTTCCGAGAGATTTTTTGAAAATTCGCTTCTGGTGCCAAGTTACGGGACATTTTCTGAATTTAAAATGACATTTTGTCTACGGTTAATCTCAAGAACGGTAGAAGATATAAATGTGAAACTTTCAGGGATTATAGATCGTGATATATACTATCCAGGACGCGACCTTTCGTTCGTCGTCAATACTTCCTGTCGTTAGGAGATGCGAATGGAAAAAAGCGTATTTTCTAACTTTTTTGTTTTTCAATATTTTTTATTTATTTTTGGAATGCTAATAGAGACCTTTTGATTGATGCTTACTATAAAAGTTGTTTGGATATTGGTTAATCAGAACTCTAGATATTAATTTTTGAAAATCCGAAGCGGGACCAAGATGGCGGCTGTCTCTGTCAACTCCGCCATTTCGCGAGTAGGGGTTTATGGAGGCAGCTGAGCGTTTGATTAAACCATTCTGACATAAGGATACATGAAATGTAAAAAAACTACTTCGACTCTCACGTAGTTGTGAAATGGTTGGAGGAGTTACCTCCCGTTACTTGTTTATATTATAATAGATAATCGATGTAAATATTGTAATTAATTGGTCAATTGACAAAAGAAGTATACAAGTATTATTGATAAATGATGTTCTGTTAGAAAATAATAATAGTGTTGCCAACAGAAAGGCAGTCTATTGTATTTTATCAATATGATATCTGATGACTTATGATCATTGATTAAGTTGAGGTACAAGGGGGCAGTACGGCCAATTGGCTGGTGTCTTCACTTTGGTTCAGAAACCAATTAGTGTATCTATCAAATCGAATCGTGCAATGTTGCCGTAGTCAGTGACTAGTTAAAATATAGCTGTGTGACGTTAGCTATAGGTTTGTCATTAGGACAGAGAAGCTCTTACAAAGTTTAATACTGTGTAAGTATATTTTAGCTACTTGGCTATAGTTATATAGGCAACTTGGTAAGCAGTAAGACACCAGGCAGGTGTTAAAGGCTAAATCAAGAGGCACCAGGCAGGTGGCTGTTGACTTATATAGTCAGTTGTATAGTGAAGCAATTGTCATATGGCACCAGGCAGGTGCCGGTATGAACTGAAGATATATAATTGTACAAAGCACTTAGGTCATTTGATTTAAAGACACCAGGCAGGTGTCATATTATTTTCTGTAAATATTGCATTCACTCATATCCCCAGTAAATCTCGGTAATCCGAGCACGGACCTACTGACCGCTCAGGTCCGACACGTTACAGTAGTACAGGTAAGTTGCAATTGAGTGTCAATCTTAAATCTTAATTTCCGTTTCACTGCTTTAGTGTAACTAGGCTAGAAACGATATGTAATGTGTATAATGTGTTACATATACTTTCTTAACGTCGAAATAAAATAAAGGCGCTAAGAATGTTTTATTTTTAAAATTTAATTGAAGCTATCATCCCTATTTAATAGATCAGTCCAAAGAAAAGGCGTAAAATATTTACTCGTGGTGTTTGGCGCAAAATTATGAATGCTTTTTATAATTCTTAGACAGGTGAACTGTTGCAAAAGTATACACAAGTATGTTTAGAGCAGTACTCCCTATAGCTTAATGGTTAGCGCGTTGGGGATAAAAAAGTAAAAAAAAAGCGCATTCACGTTGGCGACATGCGTTCAATTCTCCTTGTGACAAAAATTTTGAATCTCTTTTCAGCTCGATTTTACGTGAATTTCTTTTCATAAAACGGACGGAAGACCTCTCGTTGCTCGCAACGAGATCGTATCTAGTTATTATTATTATTCTTTTTTTTCTTCTTTGTTCTCCGGTACTTTATTGTCCGCGAGTGTTCTCAGAAACTGTTCACCCAACTGACCTAAAACCTTTTTAGGGTTAATGGGTGTGTAGTGTAGGTGTGCGGAACGAAGGTCATGTTGTGCGCATACGCATGCACGTGCGGGCGCGTGCAACACGTGAATTGACTTATATATTTAAAATAGCTATAACTTTTACATTTTTTAATGAAATGATTTGAAACTCATTATATAAAGATATATTAATAGTGTAGAGAATGTGACACTGTCAAATTAGCACGAACTCACCTGCATGCACGTGTGCTTCGCTCTGATTGGCTGAAACGAAAATCTCAATATCTTTTCTGTTTTTTGACAATTTGCTATGAAATTTTAAACATGGGCATACTTTAGGATGTCCTACAATATGATATATAGCAATTGTCATGAAATCACGTGCATGCACGTGCGCTGCAATCTGATTGGCTAAAACTTTAAATGGCTATAACTCCCTTGTTTTTCAACCAAACAGGATGGGATTTAGAACATAGACAGATATAATAGACTCCTACAAGATGGTGTAGTCATCATGCACATGCATGCACGTGTTTGCACGTGTACTTTTCTCTGATTGACTGAAACAAAAATCTCAATATCTTTTTTGTTTTTTGACGAAATACAATCAAATCACGCACATGCACGTGCGCTGCAATCTGATTGGCTTAAACTTTGAATAGCTATAACTCCCTTGGTTTTCAACCAAACAGGATGGGATTCAGAACATAGATAGACATTATAGACTCCATACAAAAGGGTATGGTCGTCTTGCATATGCATGCACGTGCTTGCACGTGAAATGAGTAAAATTCCAAATACACTAGATTAAACATATTTTTGGATTAAATGCGGTAATATTTAGTATATCAAAATATATCAATAGTGTAGACAAGATGATATGGTCATTACGCACATGCATTCAAATGCGCATGCGTGCGATGCTGAAATTGAATACTTCTGGTAAAACTTTGTTAAAGTCTTAAATGTATCGCGTTTGTCTTATTTAATGAAGCTTACAGGGAATAAGGCACCAAAAGGGAGTTGGGGAGCGTTTGGGGAACATCTGTAACGGTTCCCGTTACAATTAGCCCTAGTTGAGGTTTGGTTTAATTTCTCAATGTGCATAATGGTAATGTTTACTGTCTCTGAAATTCTATTCTTTATATCTAGGCTATTTTATCCATGAATATAATAAAACATGCAAATTATATAGGCCTAAATCAAATTCAAGGGAGTACAGTTACTGATATATGTAGCTAAAATCAATGCGATTAAATTCTAAGGAATCGATACATTTAAAATTCATTGCAGCTCAATGCTGCCAACAATACCTTTATTGAGTAACACAGAGTGAGTTATTCTTGTCGTCGGAGAAAGTGTGCTTATGCTGAGGTTTGTTCCGCCTGACTAACAACTGTACATTGGATTGTTACGATTTGATATCTCTTTAGTTTTTCTTATATCAAGCATGGGCATGCATAAAGGATAGATAATTGAGGGAAAATACACAAGTCTATTAAAAAAATATTAAGATAGTCTTTGAAAAGGTGAAAATTTAAAAGTGTGGTACAAGGTGGATTCAAACCCCGACTTTAAAAAGTTAGTTTGCACGGTAAAATAGTCAGCACATGTATATCAACTGAACTAGTCTGACTATCAGGTTTAAAGGTAAAAATTTGAAGCAGATTATCAAAATCAGGTTTCCTTATTTTTTGTAGGTTTTTAGCTCACCTGAGCCGAAGGCTCAAGTGAGCTTTTCTGATCACACACATTTTCTTCGTCATCCGTCTGCCTGTCTAGCTATCTGTCTGTCTGTCTAGCTGTCCTTCCGTCTGTAAATTCACACTTTCGACGTCTTCTCAAGAACCACTGGTCCAATTTTAACCAAACTTAATTCAAAACATCCATGGGTGAAAGGAAATTTAAATTGTTAAAACGAAGGACCAAGTCCCCTCACAAGGGGAGATAATCAAGAAAAGACAAAAAGAAAAAAAATCTTCTTCTCAAGAACCACAGGGCCAGAAAAGCTGAAACTTATGTGGAAGCAGCCTGGTGTAGTGTAGATTCTAAATTGTTCAAATCATAACTGCAGGGGGTTGGGCGGGGCCACAATGGGGAATCAAAGTTTTACATAGAAATAAATAAACTTATGTGGAAGCATTCTGGGGTAGTGTAGGTTTCAAATTGACTGTCTAAATTATGATCAGTGGGTAGGGTGGGGTCACAATATGTATAACAAGGGGGGAATCTGCTAAAGAACAGAATGGTCAAAGCTTTTCAGGTGAGCAATGTGGCCCATGGGCCTCTTGTTTGTGAATTTCGACCCTAGGGCAGGGATGCCCCTAAAACAATCCTATCTTAAATTATTCCTTACATCCAAACCTGAAAATATCACATTTTATTTAGGGGCAGGCCTTATAATTTTTTTTTTTTAATTATTTTACCTTTACGTATTCTTTCAGATGGTAGATAAAAGTATTGGTAACAACTTGGATGTCATTGTTGTCAACATTTTGCTGTGTCTTTATGACCTTGAAGATGACAAATTTATGAAAACTGCTGTCATCAGGTGAGCTTAGCATAAAATGCAAATATGTACAAAATAAATATAATAAAAAGGATAAAAAAAGTCACTTAAATATATTGCAGTAATGCAAGACTAGTATCATTTTGAGGAATGCACTCATATACCTAGGGTCAATAATCTATATAATATGTATTGTTGAGGAAATTCAAACTATACTCATAACACTTTTTTCAGTGTGCAGTGTGTTAATTTTTAGTTTTTTAGTCTTCTGAGCCAAAGGCTCAAGGAGCTAATGCTATGGCCATTTGTGCGGTGTGTGTAAACTTTTTAGAATATGGGCCATAACTCAAGAACCCTTGGCCAATCAGTACCAAATTTGTCACAGGGTAACCTTGGCCCAAGGGCTTCCATTTATACTAAAATTAGGGTTGGGACCCTTAAACAAGGGGAGATAATCAGGAAAACAAAACCAAAAGTACTGGTTGCTAAAAAATCGTCTTCTCCATAACCACCAGGCAGATTTTCACCAAACTTACATACAAGGATCAGGATATGTCGAAGATTAAAATTTGCACGGGGAATTTTCCTGGGGCAAAGGGCGTGGTCTCAAGGTCACTTCAAAGTTGACCTAAATTTACAATTAATAAAAATGTGTATATTTTGCTTACTATAAGGACTAGGATCATCAAATTTTGTAACTTGATGCATCTTACGACTTCACATTATGTTAACTCAAAAGTAGGTCACGGTGACCTACTTTTAAAATTTTGCGGAGATTTGTTTTCAAATTGATTTGAAGGCATATTTTGGACACTTTAAGGCCTATGATCACCAAACTTTGTCAGTTGATGCATCTTGCGTCCTCGAACAATGTCACCTTAAAAGTAGGTCACCGTGACCTACTTTTTGAACTTTATGACTTATCCTTTTAAAAACATTTAATCCCATTATTTCAGACACTGGGAGGTTTAGAATCATCAAATCTTGTACTTTGATGCATCTTGGGACCTTAAAACATATTTATGAAAAAGTAGGTCACTGTGCCTACTTTTTGAATTTTGCCGACATTTGTTTTCAATTTGTTTAAAATGCATATTTTGATTACCTTCACACCTACTATCATCAAGTTTGGTCCGTAAATGCATCTTAGGTATTTGAAAAATGTCAACCAAAATGTAGGTCACAATGACCTACTTTCGACATTTTATGACTATATTTAAGTATCTTAGGTATTCATTGTCTTAGAATCATCAAACTTTGTGAGTCGATGCATATTTGGTTTTCGGAGAGTGACGACCAAAAAGTAGGTCACTGTGACCTACTTTTGACATTTTATGGCTTTATTTAAGTATCTCCGGTACTTTTTGGCTTAAAATCATCAAACTTTGTGAGTTGATGCATCTTGGGTTTTCGGAGAGGACGACCAAAAAGTAGGTCATGGTGACCTACTTTTGACATTTTGTGGCTATAATTAAGTATCTCTGGTACTTATTGACCTAAAATCATCAAACTTTGTGAGTTGATGCATCTTGGGTTTTGGGAGATTGTCGACCAAAAAGTAGGTCACAGTGACCTACTTTTGACATATTTATGGCTATATTTAAGTATCTCAGGCACTTACTGGCTAAGAATCATCAAACTTTGTCAGTTGAGGCATCTTGGGTTTTCAGAGAATGTCGACCAAAAAGTAGGTCACGGTGACCTACTTTTGAATATGTGAGGTACATATTAGCTTAGAATCATCAAACTTTGTCAGTTTAGGCACCTTAGGTTTTCAGAGAACGTCGACTAAAAAAGTAGGTCACTGTGACCTACTTTTTGACATTTTATGGCTGTATTTAATTATATCTGGTACTTATTGGCTCGGAATCATCAAACTTTGTCAGTTGAGGCATCTTAGGGTTTCATTGAATGTCCAATAAGAAGTAGGTCACGGTGACCTACTTTTGAATATCTCAGGTACTTATTGGCTTAGAATCATCAAACTTTGTCAGTTGATGCATCTTGGGTTTTCAGAGAATGTTGACCAAAATGTAGGTCATGGTGACTTACTTTTGAATATCTCATAATTATTTAATTAGAATCATCAGTCTTTGTCAATTAATGTTTCTTGAGTCCTCAGAAAATTTCAATCAAAAGGTAGGTCACTGTGACCTACTTATGGTATTTTATAATTATATTATAATATCTTCAGTCTTAACTGGCTAAATATTATCAAACTTTGTAAGTTGATGAATTTTGGGTCTTATGATACTAATAGAGTTGGAGGCTTCTAATAGAAGTGATAGATTGAACAATTTATCAGAAGAGCGATTCAAGGCCCTTGGGCCTCTTGTTTGTAAACTTCTGCTTCATATACACCAGAATACACTGAATGCACTTTTTGATTGACATATCCAACTGTATGCTAAAAAGAAACGAGGCTTGCAACTTTATTTGCCCCTTTCCATGCCCCCCACACGTTTTTTTTTTTCCCTTTTAAAAGTTGTATGCACTGCTCACCAGCTGAATTATGAATCCCAAACCTCTCCAGATAATTCTTATAAATGATAAAAATCCTCAGGTATTAACTTTTCATCCTTATATTATTATTAACAAATAATTTTTTCTCCAATTTTCTCCAATTTTGTTCATTTAATTTTGTATTTACGGAAGTTCCCACATTCCAACATCCGAAACCCAAAAAGGGGGGCCAGGAAATTAATTGACAGCTCTGTTAAACGCAAGGATCAGAGTAGCTGCAAATCTGTAGCGTTATGGTTTTATATATTTGACTGACCAATGCTAGAAAGTGGAGAAATTCTCCCGAAAAGTGCGCAAAAAATATTGTGCCGTAAATTGCACCTTTTTTGCATTATGGGTTCTGAAGCATTATGGTCAATGACAAATATATAAAACCATAATGCTACAGACCTGCAGCAAGGATCAGAGTATATGCCAATTAAACCTGTCTAAAACTTAACTAATTACTGACAATATATTTTTTTAGGTCACCTGAGTCACTCAGGTGACCTATTGCTATCTGTTTTTGTCCGTCGTCGTCCGTCGTTCGTCGTACGTCGTTCGTCGTTCGTCGTCAATCGGTCGTAAACTTTTGAACATTTTCAGCTTCTTCTCTGCAACCACTGAACCAATTTCAACCAAATTTGGCACAAAGCATCTATGGGTGAAGGGGAACAAAAATTGTGAATTTCATGATTCCTGCCCCCCTGGGGCCTGAGGGGTGGGGCCAAAACCACTAAAATTAATGCAATCTTTAAAAATCTTCTTTACTCCTGGACATTAAGCAGTCAAACTGTTTGCATGATTGTAATCAGCATTGCGTCCTTTACCAAAATTGTGAAATTCATGGCCCTGGGGTCAGGGGTACTTGTGCTGGGGCGGGGCTTAAAAGTATATAGTGAAAATGCATTATTTCTTTAAAAATCTTCTTCTCTGCTCCTGGGTATTAAATAAACTAACTAAGTACATAGTTATGATGAGCAAGTGTGCCTCTACCAAAATTGTGAATTTTATGGCCCCAGGGTCAGGGGTTCTGGGGTAAGGGCTTGGCTCTATTGATTATATAGTGAAAATTCATGAATTCTTTGAAAATTCTTCTTCTCTGCTCCTGGGTATTAAATAAACTAACTAAGTACATAGTTATGATGAGCAAGAGTGTCTCTACCAAAATTGTGAATTTTATGGCCCCAGGGTCAGGGGTTCTGGGGTAAGGGCTTGGCTCTATTGATTATATAGTGAAAATTCATGAATTCTTTGAAAATCTTCTTCTCTGCTCCTGGGTATTTAATAAACTAACTAAGTACATAGTTATGATGAGCAAGTGTGCCTCTACCAAAATTGTGAATTTTATGGCCCCAGGGTCAGGGGTTCTAGTGTTGGGGGAGGGCTCTATTGATTATATAGTGAAAAAATTACATGAATTCTTTGAAAGTCTTCTTCTCTGCTCCTGGGTATTAAATAAACTACATGTAACTAAGTACATAGTTATGATGAGCAAGAGTGTCTCTACCAAAATTGTGAATTTTATGGCCCCAGGATCAGGGGTTCTGGGGTAAGGGCGGGGCTCTATTGATTATATAGTGAAAATACATGAATTCTTTGAAAATCTTCTTCTCTGCTTCTGGGTACTGTAAAATCACATATTTTCGTGGTGTCAATTTTTCGTGGTTTGAAGAAAATTTCTTGTTTCGAGGGGATTTGATTTCGTGGATGTAGAATTGTTGAGTAGTAATGCATGTCATATTTTACATTTCGTGGTGGACATGAATTCGTGGGTCTCTTCACACCACGAAAACCACGAAAATTAAACCCCCACGAAAATTTGTGATTTCACAGTATTAAATAAACTAACTAAGTACATAGTTATGATGAGCAAGAGTGCCTCTACCAAAATTGCGAATTACATGGCCCCAGGGTCAGGGATTCTGGTGGGGGGGGGCTGTATTGATTATGCATGTAGTGAAAAAACATTAAAATATTGAATATTTTCTTCTTTGCTCCTAGACTTAAAGCAGATGAACTACCTATATAGTTATGAGCAAGGGACCTAATCTTAGAGAATTGTAAATTTCAAGACCCCAGGGTCAGTTGTACCATAGAGTTGGGGGGGGGGGGGCTGTACTTATATACTAAAAATGAATGAATTGTTTGAAATGTGCTCCTTGGTATTTATCAAATATTTTTGAAAAGCAAGGATGCTTTTCCAAAAATTGTGCAATGTGTGGATCTAGCCCTAAGAGTAAAGGGTTCATGTGTGGTAGCGGCACAACTGATTATTGCTGAATATTACTGATTTGTTGATATGCATTTTTTGTTCCCCTACCTTGCCTATGGGTATTAGCAACCAAACTAAAGAACTGTTAAGTGTATAGTTATGATGACCAAATTGTAAATGCTATAGCATCTGGCTTAAAACATGGATCAAATTCAATCACTGGAAAGTTGTTGAATAATGCTCAGGTGACCTATAAGGCCCATGGGCCTCTTGTTTAACCTGTATCCTTAATCAAAGGAAATTAAAGTTTAATTTATAGAGGGGG